TATGGAGCAGTATCAGACTCATATTCTGCCTAGAATTGAGTCGGACTACGTCAGGCTATGTTTCTGCATGTGGGTTAGAAGATTAGACCCCAACATGACAGAGTCAGCCTTCTGATAAGTGAGTCCAGCTCAGATTTGGGTTGAAATAGGAAAGCATCTAAAGTTGTTGAAGAGAATGATTTACTGTTTTGATAATAGCACATTTGTGTAACTACTTCCGGATTGGCTAAAAACATACTTGGTATTTTGGCACTATGCGTCACTTCACCCAGTCAGTTCTGCTGAATGTCCCTTTTTCCCCCCTTGATTTAATGGAACCAGGCCAAGATTAAATATCTGTAAATTAAACTAAGAGTATTGCAAATGACCAATCTGGCTTGCCAGGTGATTTTTCTGACAGATTACAGAGCTGTCATGCTATGGCATAACGCTGGTGTGAATTATCACACTGACTAGACTTATCTCTATTTGCTACAGAACGGAGGCTGCGCAGGAGATACAGTTTGTATGTGAGAGAGTTGGACAATATTTACAATACACCAAGGACAATTCAATGTATTTTGCCTTCCAGAGACTCCAGAAGACCCTGGTGGCCTCCACAATCACCTGGATTGAATGACTATATCACTAACACACCGGTTTGTGAGAAAAACATTAAGTGTCTAACCAGGTGTTCAAAAGGGACTCCAAATTCCTTTTTATTCCATACACCTCAGACTTTCACTGCAAGACAGTCTTGTCATCCACAGAACAATTATCATGTTTTTTTATTTAAAAAAACTCTGGATTAGTCTGCTTAATTAGATATGGAGAATATGCTGACTGTAGGCAGCAGGTCAAGCACTATATGGCTCGGTGTGGAATTAAGCACATCCATTATTATCTTGAATGGTAGAGGATGCATATTTACCTGGAGTAAAAGAGAATGACAAATAATGTATATTACTAAAAGTTCATGGAGGTCAAATTATAAAAACAAATAATAAAACAAACAAACCCTTTAAGCCTAATTAATGTGTCAGTCAGGCCTGATCAGATCAGTCTTCTATGATTAAGGTGCCAACTCATTTTTTACATGTAGGGATTATTGTAAACTATGAATAATGTAATTTTAATAAGAAATCAAAAGGATAACAACAAAATTATCATTATATCAATTTTTATTTAAAAAGAGTCACTAACTCAATCAATAGGACTTTCATTTTAGAACAAAGAGGACAAAGAGGCAGCATACGAAAAAAAAACAGCATGTCATTTCTGCACTCGCCGGATGACATCTCAGTTTACATATGCAAACATTAGCCCATCCGCATGTCCCAAAATGTGTTTCTGCAAGATGACTATATGCTGAAGTAAGTTTTTTGAGGAAGTCTTTGCCTTGCTCCATCTTTGAAAGTAATTCACATGATACACTGCGTTAATCACATACTGTATATGCACATATAATCGCATAAACCATTATCAAAGTTCTCTTCTGATCAGCCTACGTGTAATAAAGAAAAAATTAAAACAAAGATAAATAATTTCTTTACTACTATAATGCAAAAACTTTGAGAATGTCTTTTTCTCCTAACAACACCAAATCTATTTTAATCTTTTTTAAGTATTCTTTAACTTTTGCTTTACCGAAGAGGACAGAAAATGTTTAGCTTAAGTTCAAGTTTAGAAGTTTAACCTGTTACCTAATTAAATGAGGACTCATGCTGTATGTAGCCCCCATATATAGTTTGGTTGCTCCAGCTTTACGCTATTAGTACTACTGTATTTCTAGCTCTTTTTGACAGTAGAGTAAAGGCAGTTTATATCAGAGGAAATTCCAGAAAAGGAAGAACTTCCCACAGTGCTGTAGATGACAGCCTCAGGGACCTAGAAGGGAAATATCAAATTCATTATAGCATACAGTAAGACATTTTACACATTTTTTCAGAAAACAATAAATAATCCTATTATACGTGAGATTTGAATATCCTAACCCCAATCTTTTCCATATTTGCATATAAAGAACAGTGATCAGTTGATAAAGTTGATAAAAATGTTCTTGTTTCACCAAATGGAAACCAAGCAACTTGAAAGATTCAACAAGAAATATGAAAATGTCAAATTAAAGACAATCATTGTTACAGGTATAGCCAATGAGCTTGACTATCAGCAGCATGGGAGGGAGGCTACTACTACAGGCCTGAGTATCTACCTGAATATGCTCTCTGTGATGTCAATTAATGAAAGAAAGAGAAAGTTAGAATTTTGTTTTTCCTCTTTGCACTATTTCAAAAATCATTGCTTGCCAAATCCTAAGATCCTTTCTAAGTGAAGAAAGAGCACAGTGTAAAGCTGTCTACTTATTTCCAGTTTATTTTAAATCAAATCTCTAATCTGTCCTATGGATAATTGGCATGTTAGATAAGTACATTCTAATGTCAGCTCATTCACTTTCAGGATACTTTAATATTTAATTAAGTGGAAATATAGCTGTATTATTTAAATTGTTGCACAATAATGCACTGAAAATACTTACATTGGCAGTTTTTTTCTTAGTGTTCTTGAAGTTGATGGAAGCGTAGGAAACACCATCACCTGGATCAGGCTGAAAAAGAAAAACAGGTGTTCATTAAAATTTGTCCTAAACCACACAGATATAGAGTTTAGTTTTAAAATTTCATATCCATAGTTGTAGCAGCTTCTGTTTAAAAAAAAAAATCATATTAAGATTCACAAGTAGTTTCCATAAAAATGGTACAATCACAGTTAATTAAAATGTTGCCATGGCGGCACAAACAGGTGCAACGGCTTCACCAGCTGCTGCTAAATTGCCAGCTAGCGGTAAAGCAAGCGCAATGCACATCTATTTATATAGCACAATTAAGCACAGAGTCAATTCAAAGAACTTTAAGCGGAAAAAAAGCAAGTAAAGATGAATAAATGATTAAAAAAGGCAGGCCGTAAAGAAATTAAACAGTTGGACCACAAACTTAACCATATATTAACCTGTTCTTAGCATCTAGCCAATGCTCTAATGGGTCATAGTAACCTGGTGACATTGTGGGTCATGATCTTGGAGCCAGTGGGGAGAGTGTTCTAGTGTTAACTTTGAGTTTCTGATTTTCTGTTCTGCCTCTCAACCACTGAGCCTGCCTGTTCTCATCTGATCAGTTTTAACCTGCCTGCTTCCAGTCATCAGACGAGATTATTCACAAGCCAGAGGTGGTAGCGTTTCAGCATTACCTTAGTGTTTCTGATTACCTGATCCTTACCTGTTCTGCATCTCAACCACTAGCCTGCCTGTCCCTTGTCTGATCTGTTTGCCTGACCTGACTTTGGACTCCTGTTGGATCCTGCCTGCTTGCTGAACTTGAGAGATGCTTCCTGACAAGGACCTGGATTTCCCTTCGGAATCTCTTCGAACTTCTGGTCTGCTGGTTCTGTATCCTGTGCACGTCCTTGGCACTGGCTTTGGCTTTGTCCTCTGGATTACCGGTATCCTGCCTTCCTTCATCTCCCTGGATCTGGTCTCCTGTTTGTTCTCCATCCAGCGGGGCTGTAGCATTTGGGACACTCTTGGCGGTGCCCACCGCATCTTGTAGTCAGCCCACTGGCTGGATCCTACCTTGTTCTCTGGGCTTAGACTGAACTAGTAAAGCAGTAAACCTGTGTTTTCTTTCTGCAGAGGTTCCTCCGATAGATGCCCTAGCTGCTGCTACTGTAGATCCGTTTTTAAAATAAACGCTTTTGAATTATCTGTCTTTCTGCCTCTCATGTTGAGAGAGGACTCAACTGATAAATCAAACTCTTGCCAAATCCAGTCAGGAGGAATCCACAAAACGTCCTTCCCACCAGGAAAGCCACAAATCTCATTCTTTTGTTTGTTTTTCAAAAAAAAGAAATAGAGGGCATTTAATCTAAAACAGACTGAATAAAAGAGTCTTCGGGTAATTCTTCAGATGAAGCCATGTTTGGTTTCCTACAGCCTGGCATTTCTGGTTGTCGCTTAGTTTAGTTTCATCTGAATATTAGGCTTCTTGAATTGGGACAAATATGAGCTGGTATGACAACAAAACAAATCATTGAATAACAAACTGAAGGGATTGTATTCCTCTGTATTTGGTTTTGTGCATAGGTGTGTTTGTCTGTATGGTCCTACTAGGCTCTGATGTGTTACTGGAAGAACTGTGGCCACTGCAGAGGGTTGGTTCAGATCCTGCTTTACTAATTCTTCATAACAGGGCATCTGTGATGAAAAAAAAAATCCCACTGTAAGAACCCTAAAACAGTTGTTCATACAGCAAGGAGTTAAAGAACTCATTCACTCCCTGTATTCAGGTGAAATTAACCATCTGGTGAAAAAAACTCAGATACCATATCTCAGCTTCACAGCAATACTAAATAATCCAGTTTGTTTTCCTTGGACTGACAGATCTCTATGCATTTTTAAAAACTATTCTACTCTCTGATCTAATTCTTACCTTTCAATGTCATGCTAGTTTTGGTACTAGTTCTCATTATTTTGCATTCACACTAGAAATGTTATTTGGCCAACATAATTTATTTGGTGTGTTTTGCTTTCACATTTTATATATTGTAAGATAATTATAACTTGTGCTGTAAGAATGCCACTGATGTAACTACAAGTAGTGAATATAACCTTGGTCTAGTTCCTGTACAGAAAAACAATCATATTTAAATGCTGGTGAAGATTCTCAGTCATCCAGGTCAAAGTCATAGAAAAAAAAAAGTTAGCAATCAACTGGACTTTGATTATAGGTTTGACAGTTCAAGCTTGGAAACAAAGTCCAGTGGATTGTTTTTTTTTTTACATTTTTGAAATCAAATTAAAAAAATTTATTTTTTGCTTTGTTTAACATAAAAAATATTTAAAACTCTGGGTTTTTGGCTCATTATGGGGCTCATGACAAACTCACCCTGCTGTCTTCAGCTTGCATTTTATTTCCTACAAAAAAAAAAAAAAAACAGAAACGGACTTGAATCTCCATGCTCCTTCCCCATTTATAACCATAAATACAAACCTAAAAAAAGACAGCTTTTTTCGTGTTTTTTTTTTTTTTTTTTTAAACTAAAACTGCTTTTTTAAACACATCAAAATGCCTCAGTTCTATTTTCATTCAAGTCGCTGTACATTGTTGATAACTCTAGTATGGAGCAAAAGACCTCAAATATAAAAATCAAAACACGAAATATCATTGGACTCTTCTAACATAGATCTGACATAGAATAATTTAAAACAGAGGATTCATCTGTGAATTATCTCACCTTTGGTTTGCTTCCAACGGATGATCATAAGGACAGTTATCAACAGTGCTACTGGGAGTAAAGCACTGATAATATACCACCAAGGTAAAGCTGGAAAGAGAAATAATTACATGAGGAATTATATATTTCTATATTGCTACAAAACAATATTGTTTTAACATAAGATTATTATCTACTATGTAACATTCGATAATTAATTATAAGATGACATCGAAGGTTTGGTTACTGGATTCATTTTACCTCCAGAGTTGTCAACTTACTTGTCTGTGATGTTAATTGAGGATCTGATGACAGGGTCGGTTCATTTGCCGCTTTATTTGTTTTTGTTAGATTATCACCTTTAGAAATGCATGCATAGAAAAAAAATACAATTATATAAAAACCTGGCAGATTAAAGCCAATATTTGAACTGATTTTAAAGATTGTATCATGTTCTCACCTAAGGACTGAGCGCTAAAAGGAAACTGCTGAACTTTTGCAGTGATACTGTTTGTGACTTTACACTGCAGTAACTGATAAATGTCTAATTTCCCATGAATGTAGGATGTTGGAAATGTCACAGTGGCGGAGCATGCATGTTGGAACACATTCATATCTGAGGGTTTTTCCTCTTTCCCCTCATAAAGCCATTCAACCTCATGAAGACAGAGATCATATTCTAACACAGAGCAGAACAAGGAGACTGTATCAGGGCTCCTCAGCTCAACCACTGGTGATAACAGAGACATAAGGAGAAAAAAAAAGACAAAAAATGAACTTGATCATTAAATAATTATTGCATTGTTTTTCTTTGTTTTGGTATATGATGTAAACACTTACAATTAATAATAGACAGAAATAGCGTGGAACGATGCATTTGTCTTGATATGGTCCAGAGGCAGTTGTACTGACCCACGTCATTCTCTGTGACATTATGTAGAACCAGGGAAAAGTCTTTTGTAACACTCTGTCTGCCAGATGCTGTTTTTAGTTGCTTTCTAGAATTTACAAGCTGGACTAGTGTTGTTGTTGTTGTTGTTTTATCTCTATTGTGGAAGACCCAACTTGCTTCATCCAAATTATCTTGAGTTTCTCTCCTGCTTCCACAAGGCAAAGTCACTTCATTTCCAACTTTGACAGAAAGGAACGTTTGCTCTGCCTCAGCTTGTGCTGTTAATAAGATATAACATGTTGAACACAGTCATGTAATAGCTTATAGCTGAAGTTATACAGATAGAGAAAAACATGCCTGTGCCAATTAGAGGAAGAATCTCTGTCTTATTACGATCCTTACCTTTAGACTGAAGCATCAGTGTCAGAAGTAAAGACATATTAATCCATTTAAATGCACCCATGATGCTACCCTATCCTGCTGTCAGTTGTTCTGAGAAATGACTCGTTGACAAATGATTCTGATATGGTTTCCTCTTAACACACATTGCATTTCTATTAGTTGAGTCACTTCCTCCCTATTGCTTGGCTGTGCATTTTAACTCTGAGCTAAATATCTTCTGAAAAATGAGGAAGTGTTTGGGAGCATCTGTCCCTTTCTAAAAACAACCTCTGAGGTTCAGACATTGATAGCTGTCCTTAATGTTTCTATTAATAGTCTCCAGTTTTAAGGTTACATGTCTTATTTGTACAGTGATGGTAAAAAGTACTTTAATATCATACTAAAAGCTCACATCTAAGGAAATGATAACATATACTTTATTTTGCTGAACTAAAGGTCTCTTAAAAAATTGTCACTGTAAAGCTCACAGAGCTACTCCAGTGTGCAGCCACCTTATCAGTGCAATTCTAGAACCAACAGAAGCAAATTTATTTTATTAGCTTCAATGTTCTTTATTAATGTGTTCAAAACATGTGGATAAAATAAAATAAAACACATTTTTAGTAAGGAATGAACTTTCTGTCCCACCAGCACCTGCTGACTCCTCTTTTTAACTTTGACCCAAATGTCTTTAGAAAAAGTAGGAAGTGTTGTTGTAAAAATGTGAGTGCAGCAGCAGATGAGCCTGCATGATTAACACATTCATGTGTGTCATTATAGTTTCCATGACCAATCACCAGGAGGAAGTTGCCTTCCTTATGCATACATGATGGTGAAATTACAACAATAACTTGCAAAAGTTTTCCATTTAAGATTACAAACAGGCACTGAATGTTTAATTTAGGTCAAGAAAAACACTATCAAAATGGCTCCAATGAAAAGGCCCACAGAAGAACATTTCTACCATTAATTTATGTTTTCTTTGGTAAATTGTTCAGCTTAGAATACTACCCTCAATAAAACTGATTTGTATTAAGAAATGCACTTTTATGAAATAGGGGCTGCATTTTATCGCTAATTTGCTTCCTGTGACATGACATGTATACAGAAAGTATGCACAATGCAAACAGTTATGTCCAACGAGGTCCTCAAGACCTGATAGTACATTGATCCAGGTTTTCAGCTGCTCCACAAATATACATTTACAAATAAAATATTTCAAGACACTATAAGAGGTCAGAGAATTTGAAACGATACAATGTTTGAGCTATTTTTGGGGTTGATCAGAAATATCAGCCATCCCCTTTTTCATCAATTAAATAGTTGTGCTTCCATCTAGTGGTGTCCTGGGGTAATGGCAATTGATTAACACAATCTACATAAAAAATAAGGATGTAATGTTTTGTTCTTATATGACATTTCAAAAGCAAATAAATGAAAGCAAACACAATCACACTTAAACCAGAATAGTAGCTTATCAGGAAAGCCAGCTCTGTGATTGGATACCCCCTGGACCCTGAAACAAAAGGATCCTAATTAGAAAATATAATATCTCTGTTGGATAATGTCTCCCGCCCCATGCATGAAACTGTTGCTGAACTGGAAAGCTCCTTCACTGACAGACTGCTGCACTCTAAATGCACCAGGGAACGTTATCACAGATCCTTCCTCGCATTAGAAGACTTTATAACCACCACTGTTCCCAACAATCTCAATAAGTTGTTACATTCATCCTGATTTTTGCAGAGTTTCTCTCTTAGTTAAATGATATTAGATCACTTAAATAACATGCTGCTGTCATTTTTTGCACATCTCTGGTGTTCCTTCTATTTTTTTTACATATCCTTTACTGTAAAAATGTCCACAGCTGTTATAGATTGTTTATTCTCTAGATACAGAGTATTATATTGCAAAACACTATACAGTATAATGCTCTATTTGTTTATTTTCTTATCTGTCACACACTTCACACACTTTTCTAAGGTCCACATTGCGTGACCACTTCTGCTTTAACTTTTTGCTGCTTTAAAACCACAATTTCTACATTGTGGGACAATAAAGGGATTTTCTATTCTAAACACTGCAAATACAGGTGAGTAATGCAGATTTTTGAAAGAACTGTTTATTGAAAAAAATTCTGAATATTAAATTGACAAGAAATTAACAGAACTGATTTGCTGTGATCTCTGTTAGACACTTAAGAACTAAAACATTGTTCTTCTAATTGATATAAATAACAAGTACTGTACTACTGATCCTTTCTAACTCATAACTACTTGCCTTTGCCTCAACCCTGCTGGATGTCATTGAGTTTTCTGATATCTTGACCTTGACAAAGGTTCTGACTCCTAACCACCACCTCTATCTTTTCCTGATATATTGTTTGTTCATTTTCATTCCAAATAGCATTTTTAAAGTTGCTTTAATTAAATTTTAAACAATCTCAATTGCTGATAAGGTTCAATATGTTCATCATGAAATGTTTTTGCATCTCTTTTTGTATGAGATTTCTAAATAATAAGATATATTATTTCCAGCTCACCAGCGATTATAATAAACATTATTTAATTTCTACCAAAAGGAATCCATAAATTATATCAAAAGAAAACCTTTAATTCTGTGCTGTCTATTTTTCGATAAAGAGCCAGGTGAAAAGGTACACAGATCTTTGAATATTTCTTTTGCATAGTTCTCGTTTCTATCTATTGAAATAAGATGTAAATGTTTCCTTGTATTGTCATTAAAACATTTTCTATGTTTCTTTTGAATATGTCAACATTTTAGTTAGCGTATTCATTAAATTTAGGTCTGGATTGCCATGGAATTACAAGGCAATTATGTAGGTTCTCGCTAGATTTTTTTATATCAAAACCCTATGAACTTAATTCTAATTTGACCACTGAGCAGCAGGAACCAAGGGGTAAATTGAAGAAGTAAAGCCAAAATAGCAAAATAAAAAGAAGAATTGTTTTGTTTTTTTCTTATTTGGAGTGAAGAGGATTTTATTGATCTGCATGTAACGCCTGATTCATATTAGATCATGCAGTGTTTGATTTATAATGGAAACCTTGTATGTCTGAAACTATTCCTTTATTGTACATTTTGTTAGCTTGTTTGTCTGCTACATTAACCAATATGATATGATGAACTAGATCTGCTATTTTTAAAGCTTTAGTGAGACATTTCTGTATAAAGTAGGGCATTAATTCAAAAAAGTTTATTTGAGTTCTATAAATCAAAGTTTTCTACCCAACAGCAATGATGAACTGCACGGCAGCATTCTATACCCAGCTATTGTATTATCTAGGCTAAAGGTGTCAGTCTGGTAAAAAATCTGGACGTTATTCCAAATTCTAAAGGTTACCTTTTTTTTTTTTGCAACATTAAACTGACTAAAACTAAACTAAAAGCTTTTTAAGTTTTAGTCAACTAAAACCAACTAAAACTATCACATATCATAATAACTAAAATGCAACTAAGACTAATAATAGTTTTCGTTATGAAGACTAAGACTAAATGTAAAATGGCTGTCAGAAACAACACTGGCCTGCAGCACCTGTCACAACCTGCAGGAGGAGTAGGAGGAACAAACACAAGTCTGCACTGTTTCAGGACACAATAACATACTCATTGGACTCTGAAGTACCACATGTACTAAACTCTGTCAGTGTTACCATGGTTACTTTAAAGCGATAGATTTTTAGCAAGCTGCTACAAAACAGGTAAAGGCTGAATCCCCTTATGAGGGCATTTATGAACAGTTTACTGGAGAGACAGGAATACAACTCATTGACTTTTATACCGAGAAATAAAGAGCTGGAATTCAGATAATTTCAAAGGAAAACATTAATAAATGCAAAATATTCAAAGTAATGACAAGAATGGCAGATTACTTGGCTCCAAGAACGTACAGCTACTTTCAGAGAGGCAGAAAAAAACAGACTTTTAGAAAGCTAAATATTGGTTTGAGAACACTCTCCACAAAGCAAGTGTAACAGCAATGAGAAGAAACCTCTGGAGATGTTTTACAGTATAAAGAGGAAGTTTCCATAAAATGAAACAACATCTTCTTCATTTCTTCAGTCAGAGGCTTCTCCAGCTTCACTTCAAGACAGGCCACTACAGGAGATCCATCCTGCCTGCAGCTATTAACTCCAACAATTTATTGAAAAAATCCATATATGAGGAACAACAACATTAAATTTCCATTTTGTGGTCTAACAACTAATTTCTGAAGTTTAGAAAGTTCTTTTCAAAACCTCTACAGCATCTCCAATCACTGGTTCCACAGTCTGTGGTACTTCCTTAACCCTTTTCTTCAGAGATATAAAATCTCCGCTGTATGAGTTATTGGAAAACTTCCAGTAATGCCTCCCTCCAGGTGATGGGCCACGTTCCATTAGGTGTAAAACATGAAATTTTACCAGCTTTAATCTCATTTGCATTGTTGTTTATCAATTGAGACTGACTGATGCAGAAAGCTTTTGAATATTCTCATAAACTTCTGCGCTTTCATCTTCATCTTTATCAGAAAGTTCCTGTTGAAATGAAACAAACAATGATAAATCTTTGACCATGACAGATAGTATTGTTGTTTAAATTTATTCAATCTGTTTTCTTCTGTCATCAAGTCACTTAAATCTTATTTTCTTCTTCTTTTTATTAAAATTGCATTTTTTATTATCTGGGACAAAATTACGAATTATCTCACTATTCCTCCAGCCAACTACTTTACTACTTTTTCATTTTTTGCTATTTTGACAAATAGCAAAAATGGGTTGCCATTTACAAACTACTCTATTATCAAATATCTCAAACAGAATCAGGGCACTATATTTTGATACATTTGTTAATCTTATAATGTATTATCTAAACTTACAATGTCTTTATTCATCTGTGATTTATTTTCTGGAAAAAAACAAAAAAAACAAGCAGAGATGAAATATTACATTAATTCAATGAGTAGAAAAACATTAATTCTTTATGAAAAAACAAGAAATTAGCATTTTCTCACCTTGGATTTTTGTCCATATGTTAAGTATGACAACAGACATTATGAGTATTGCCAAACCCCCATACACAATGATGTCTCTAAGGAAATGTGGCAAGGCTGGAACACATTATTACAAAACATTAGACAGGCACATTTCCCCTAACAAGTGCAAAAAAACGCTTATAGGCAGATCAACAGAGTACCTTGGTGTGCTGGATTTTTCCCAAATGATCCTGAAATAGCACAAAAATGAAAAGGTAGGACTATGGTTCACAGTGTTTAACAGCATTCAGAACAGCATTCAGTTGAAGTTACTGAAAGACTAGCAAAAAAAAGCATTAGCATTTTACCTAGCTTATTTAAGACGCTTCTTTAAAAATGTTTCAATTGCATTATAAATAATCAAAACTGTTGAGGACAGACAGAAAAAGTTGAAAATAAACTGGAATAAAGAACAGTATCCCAATTGGAGAATAGAAGGAAGGAAACAAATTAAACCTAAACCTGAATATCTAAGATTGTCATGAAGCGAGGACAGATGGACCCAGTATTCAAGGAGAGACAGTCAGTAGGAAAGTTCAAAAAGTTAATTAAATAAAACAAAAACTAAAGTGGAGCTGTGGCTTGCGGACACTGCAGGATGGGGAGAGGGGCAACGCCCAATCACAGACACTCTAGTTTAACAGTCCAGTCCAAGAATGTCCCCAAGTGCTGCAGTC